GAGACCATGGGAGACCACGAATCCAAGCGTGTGACACCCTCTCAACCCCTGTCGCTGCGTCGCTCATGATCGGATATCACGGGAGACCACGGACCCGGACCGCATGGCACCCCGCCAGCCCATGATCGGAGACCAAGCGCGTGAACACCCTCCCCACGCCTGTAGCTAACCGCGTGCCCGGCCCCATTGCGCTCATGGTCGGAGATTATGGGAGACCACAAATCCAAGCGTGCGACACCCTCTCATCATGATCGGAGATCCCGGGAGACCACGGGCCCGGACCACGTGACACCCGCCAGCCCATGATCGGAGACCCCAAGCGCGTGAACACCCTCCCAATGCCTGTAGCTCACCACGGACCCGAACCGCGTGACACCCGCCCGGCCCCATTGCGCTCATGATCGGAGATGTTGGGAGACCACGAACCCAAGCGCGTGACACCCTCTCAACCCCTCTCGGGCCCCTGATGGCCTACTCCACCGCCCAGACATACACGCAGGCCGAGGTAAACACCCAGATCTCGAACGCCGTCGACGCCCTGAACGTTTCGCAGTACGCCACGCAGGCCGACATCGACAGCTCCCTCAGCGCAGAGCTTGCCAACTACTGGGACCAGGGCGAAACCTCGGCGGAGATCGCCAGCCAGATCAGCTCCTCCGGGCTCCTCACCGAAGCCCAGGGCGACGCCCGGTATCATCCCGCCAACGGCAACGCTGGAGGCGGAGGCATCATCCCTATGGTGCTCGACAATTTCACGCCAAGAATGATACGGGCACTGCTGCCCCAGGCACCCCTGGGAGCGAACCTGACCCTCGGCAACTCCGCAACGGTGCAACTGACGTGTGACTGCTACTCGAAGAGCGAGAGCGACGGGAGGTACTTCTCCAACACCGACTACGCACCTCTCGACTCCCGGTACCATGTGGTCAACGGCAACACGGGGGGCGGAGGCATCATCCCTATGGCGCTCGACAATTTCATGCCCAGAATGATAAGGGCGCTGCTGCCCCAGGCGCCCCTGGGGCACGCGAAAACGGGTCCGTGGTCTATGATCTCCGATCATGAGCGACAGGGGTTGAGAGGGTGTCACACGCTTGGGTTCGTGGTCTCCCAGGGTCTCCGACCATGAGCGCAATGGGGCCGGGCGGGTGTCACGCGGTTCGGGTCCGTGGCGAGCGACAGGGATTGCGGGGGTGTCACGCGCTTGGGTCCGTGGTCTCCGATGGTCTCTGATCACGAGTGAAGGGGGTGTGACGTGGCATGGTCTCCGATCATGAGCGACAGGGCAGGGGTTGAGAGGGGCGGAGGCAGGGTGGACCCAGAATCAGAAAGAACATGCTCAGACACATTTTTCAAAGCGGGCAAATTGCATTCGCGCAGCTTGCTCCTTCCACAACCCAAGTTAAAAGCTGATCTTTTGTCGTAAAGACAGAGGCTGCGTACAGAAGAAGCCCCTGTCCGAATGCATTTCTCGCCCGCGCTTTAATGCACTCAGCTGTTTTCGCCTTCTAAAAAGTGCACAAAGAGAGCACGGCGTTGCAAATGTGGAAAGCAAGACCAAAAGCTTTTTTTAGGCCTGGCAAAATGCATTCGGGCAGCGCTTGGACAGGCATGTCTATTGGGTTGTCTGGTTCCATTACAGCATCAAGACAAGCAAACACAAAACAAAAAAGTCGGTTGGTGTTTTACGACCAACGTTTCCCGAAATGCATCTGAGGGCATTCCACATGCATTTTTCGTCGCCCGAAAAACGCATTTGGCACTGGTTTCCTATCGTGTTGCAATCTTGGGTTCTGCCGGCTCATGACGTCTTCGAAATTTGATGTCTTTCTGTGCATAAGAACATCTATATATAGGATTTGAACGCGTTTAGAACCATAATCACCGTTTTGCAAAATTCCCGAAAAGGGGCCCAAAATCAGAAACAACATGCCCAGATGCATTTTGCAAAGGCAAAATGCATTCGCGCAGCTTGCTCCTTCCAAAACCACAATAAAAAACTCACTTGATAATTGACTTTTGTGTCAAAGACAGAGGCCCCGTACGGAAGAAACCAAAGTCCGAATGCATCTTTCGCCCGTGCCCAAATGCATTCAGCTGTTTTCGCTTTGAAAAAGTGCGAAAAGAGCATGCGGCGTTGCACATGTGGAAAGCAAGACCAAATGCGTGTTTCAGGCCTGGCAAAATGCATTCGGCAGCGTCTGGTCATCCATGTCTATTGGGTTATCTTTGCTCCATTACAGCATCAAAAGCAAACGAAAACAAAACAAAAAAGTAGGTTGGTGTTTTACGACCAACATCTACCCGACATGCATTTCTAGGGCATTCCAAATGCATTTTTCGTCGCCCGAAGAATGCATTTGGCGCTGGTTTCCTATCATGTTTAGTCTTGGTTTCTGCTGGCTCATGACGTATTCGATTCTTCTGATGTGTTTTCTGTGCATAAAAGTAGCTATAGGAATTGAAAAACGCGTTTAGAACAATGTTCGGCATCTTGCAGGAGTACCGAAACAGACCAGAATCAGGAAGAACATGCTCAGGTGCATTTTTTAAGTGGACAAAATGCATTCGCGCAGCTTGGTCCTTCCGCAACCGCAATAGAATTGAGTTAAAAGCTGATCTTTTGTCGTAAAGACAGAGGCTGCGTACAGAAGAAGCCCCTGTCCGAATGCATTTCTCGCCCGCGCTTTAATGCATTCAGCTGCTTTCGCCTTCTAAAAAGTGCACAAAGAGAGCATGGCGTTGCAAATGTGGAAAGCAAGACCAAATGCTTCTTTAAGCCTGGCAAAATGCATTCGGGCAGCGCTTGGGCAGCCACGTCTATTGGGTTGTCTTGTTCCATTACAGCATCAAAACAAGCAAACACAAAACAAAAAAGTCGGTTGGTGTTTTACAACCAACATTTCCCCGACATGCATCTGAGGGCATTCCACATGCATTTTTCGTCGCCCGAAAAACGCATTTGGCACTGGTTTCCTATCATGTTGCAATCTTGGGTTCTGCCGGCTCATGACTTCTTCGAAATTTGATGTCTTTCTGCGCATAAGAACATCTATATATAGGATTTGAACGCGTGTAGAACCATAATCACCGTTTTGCAAAACTCCCGAAAAGGGGCCCAAAATCAGAAGCAACATGCCCAGATGCATTTTGCAAAGGCAAAATGCATTCGCGCAGCTTGCTCCTTCCAAAACCACAATAAAAAACTCACTTGATAACTGACTTTTGTGTCAAAGACAGAGGCCCCGTACGGAAGAAACCAAAGTCCGAATGCATTTTTCGCCCGTGCCCAAATGCATTCAGCTGTATTCGCTTTGAAAAAGTGCGAAAAGAGCATGCGGCGTTGCACATGTGGAAAGCAAGACCAAATGCGTGTTTCAGGCCTGGCAAAATGCATTCGGCAGCGTCTGGTCATCCATGTCTATTGGGTTATCTTTGCTCCATTACAGCATCAAAAGCAAACGACAACAAAACAAAAAAGTAGGTTGGTGTTTTACGACCAACATCTACCCGACATGCATTTCTAGGGCATTCCAAATGCATTTTTCGTCGCCCGAAGAATGCATTTGGCGCTGGTTTCCTATCATGTTTAGTCTTGGTTTCTGCTGGCTCATGACGTATTCGATTCTTCTGATGTGTTTTCTGTGCATAAAAGTAGCTATAGGAATTGAAAAACGCGTTTAGAACAATGTTCGGCATCTTGCAGGAGTACCGAAACAGACCCAGAATCAGGAAGAACATGCTCAGGTGCATTTTTAAGTGGGCAAGATGCATTCGCGTAGCTTGCTCCTTCCACAACCGCAATAGAATTGAGTTAAGAGCTGATCCTTCGTCGTAAAGACAAGCTGCGTGCAGAAGAGACGAATAAGGCGAGTTCTACGCGTCGCGTTATTGTTTCATGCCGCTTTCCCTTCATCTACAATCTTACTGTTTGGGGTCTTCGCCGGCATAATCTAGTACCAACGTACCCACCCAAAAACTGCACATTTGATGGACGCTGCAGGCATCATCTGTGATGGGCACTCCCAGCATATGTTGTGGTATTCTATGGGATTAGGCACTTCCGGGAATCTCTGGGGGTAGTTCTCTGTGCAGGGCACTCCAGGCATATTCACGGCGGGATGCTGTTTGGACGGGAGGTCCAGGCCGGAGAGGAGAATGGCTGAGTTAAAATCTACCAACCCCCACCGAGGGTGGGCAACAAAGACTTTGTGAAACTTGTAGTTCGGTTCTAAGGCAACGCGGTGAGCATACATGAGCCTCATGTCATGTGAGTAGAGGGCTTTATCCAGTCGCGTGCACGCGCGCGCACAGACACACACATCAGTATCTGTTAGGTAGGGCGGAGTAATCTTGGCTGAGGGCTATTGGATGTTATTGGGGGTTCGAGGCTTTGGGATCTTTACTTTGGCGATGTAGTTGGCTTGAGGGTTTAGGAAAGTTTAGGAGTTCCACTTTGAAGGCTCAAAGCCGGCCTTGTTCTTGACGACGCCCCAGGCCGGGGCGGTGGTTTCCTCCAGTTCGACGATCCAAGTTGTGGGCTTGTTAGGTTCGGGGGCTTCTCCTGAAAGTGCAGGAGTGGCAACAAACAGGTAGACTACCGGTCGCTGGCGAAATCGAACTATATGCGAGTCGCTGTGTCCGGTTCCGGTGCTTTCGTGCTGAGGCATGAAAGAAGGGAAGAAGGCAATCATGTTGTGTTCGGGGGTTTGGAACGTCCACATATGAACTGGAACCACCCACAACTTTGAACACTCGGCACCTGCCGGAACCCCGAGCCGTTGCCTGAAGGCACAAGAATGTGCACCGAATGCACCCCAGAAACCAAAGCCCGAAGACTTACAATGGGTTGCGCAGTGCTTTCGGTTTGGAGCTTGAGCAGCGAAGCCAAAACAAAGCAGTGGCGGATCCTGAAGTGGTCTTGAAGCCTGCTCTGAAAGCCTCAGCCCTTGTGGTTCTGGGCCCTGAACGGGCCTAGCTAAGATTCGGGGGCAGAGAGCTCACTTCAGGGATCTGGATATTTTCGCCTCCTCCTTCTCCTTCTCCTCTTCTCGCACCAGCTTTCCTGAAACCAGGCTTTTGAACATCCAAGGGTAGGCTTGGTCATTGGGGTCCAGACTTCCCAAGCCCGAAACTCCTACGAAGCGGACCCCATAGATCCCCGGCAGGGCTCCCCGACTTCGTTTTGACCGTCATTTTGAGGCCAAACCTTGAAGCTTCAAGGCCTGAACCCGCCCGCTGCGCGCCTGCTACTTCCACCTTCATGGTGGCCTGAACCACTTCTTCCTCATGCCAGCCATCGTCCTCCTCTGCTTTCTTCTTGGTTTCCTTCTTCTCCTCCTAGGTTGGTCGCAGAAACAGGGCTAAGGGCTAACCGGCCAACTAGGTCTGCTTGTTTTCGGTTTAAGGATGTTGAGCTTCAGGGACTCCTTTTAAAGACGCATGTAAGCAGCTGTCGCAGACAAGTAAAGGCTTCGATTCGTGTCCACTGAAGAACCTTCTTCAATCACAATGAAAGACACCAGAGCCACCGAACCAGCTATGAAATCCTTGTCAAAATGGAACACCAAGCAAACCAAACCAAGACAAGACACAACAGCGCCAAACCCTGAAACCCTAAAACCCAGAACGTTTCACAAGCCAGCAGCCCTAAGCCCATGTCATGAAGTTGCGCAGGAACCGCAACTTGAAGTTGGTGACAATTCACAGCTCCCAGCATGGTTTCACATACAGCACAAGGAGCCGCAGGCTTCTCGTTCATGGCATTGTTGAGGTTGGAGCCCTGAGCTGTGCCAGCTTCTGGGAAGGCACAGGGCAGGGTTTCAGGCTGCGACAGCTTTGGGGACACCCTGCAGAGCCTTTGGTGCAGTAAGGAGACAGAGGGTAAGGCGGGTAAGGGCCTTGATCTTCTTCTTTTTGTCCTTCTTGAAGAAGTCATTTAGTGACGGCGCCTGGCATCATGCGACACCGCAGCGAACTCGTCGCCCCAAGTAGTACACCCTCTGACTCGCTGCAGAGGATGTCAGCATCTCAAGCCCAACCCCCCCGGCAGCTGCTTCAGAGTTTACCGCCTAGCCATTCGGCAGCAGGACGGACTGGGAGGGATTTTGGCTTCACGAGCTCGGATAACCCCAAGCCAGTTACGCATTGTAAAAACAGTGGATGTATGGAAGAAAACTGTAGGTACATCTGCACTATGCATAGAAAACATGTGCGTGCTAGTCCCTGAGTCCTTACGCTTGGGCCCCAAACACCCCCAGCCCTTCCAAATGAAGACAAAAACCCAAAGTCCAGCCTCCGCCATGAGGGATGTTCCTGCTCCAGCGCTTCTGGTAAAGAGCCCCATGATGTTCAGATTTAAAGGATTAAAGGTTGTTGTTTTTCTCCGCTCGATGCTGTCTGCATTTGGGCCTCGATAGCGCAAATACCGCGTTGATCAAGGTTGCAGCCGTTACAGGGCTTGAGATTTCCAGCTTGTTAGGCTTTCTGGTGTGGTAGGGTGACCATCTCAGGCAAAAGCAACAGATCCGAAATCCACAGGTCGAACCGCATCTAAACGGAATTCCGAAATCAAAGGAAGCCCTCTGATTGCCTCCAGGAGAGGAACCTGAGAACCCTTGAATCTCTCACCCCCGCCGCGCCTTTCAAGTCTTATGCAACCAGTTTTTCAACAACTGCTCGCAGCTTGATCCAAGCTCCGAAGGCACCACGCAGTCACGGTGTTGCGGAGAACTGTATTAACGATGCACACATGAACGCATGGCCGCTTAGAGCAGGGAGTTTAGGGTGTATGTTGGGGGTGCTCAGACTTCAGGGAAGCCTTAACATCCCGGCCTCAGCGTTTGAAAGGCACGGGCAGAGATTCAGAAGCAACCAGGACTTGGACATCTCTGGGGGTTAAACTGTGTAAAGAGCTTGCGAATACATTGCATTTTGCCGGAACCCCCAAATCGGAAACCCTAAGCTGGCAAGAGAACGCGAAGTTAGAGGAGGGTGCATCGATGAGTATCCCATCGAGCGCTGATAACTCCGTCCACGAATCCGGCTGATCCACCTTACTGCCATGCATGACATCCTCATCGAAAAGCCGCTTGGGCCACCGGATTCGGGAAGAGTAGCCTGGCCTTCGGTGCAGTTGCTTCGGAGAGCTCTGCAGCAACACACTTTCGACATTTTGAGACGCAAGCTCCAGGGAGCTGAGGGGCATTGGCGTAACGCGGCGCAACCCGGGCTCTACAGTTACTACAGTGCACTCGTGGCTTGCTTTTCGCATGCTGCTCCGCGCGAGGTATTTCAGCCTCCCGCGTCAACCAGATGATGATGCCCCATGCAGGAACAGCGAAAACTTGAAAACAAGGCCCCGGCCCGCTGTGATCCGCTGCGTGCACACCGTGCTGTCGAAAGGCATCAGTTTCTTGACTCCCCTAGCGCAAGGACGATTTAGGAAGAAATGCCCGCCATGAATCTGCATAAGCCGTGTAGACCGGCAAGAGACCAGCAAAGCTGCAGCAAGAAAGTGGCACCGAGCATTTTTTTCTTTTTCTTTTTCTTCTTCTTCGGAGACTTGCTCCTTTCCAGACTCGAGCTCACTGCACCTGGGCCGCAATTGAAGACTCTGCCAAGCTTTCTGGCTTGCGGGCTTAGGCTTGTGAAAGCTTCAAGAGTTGTTGAGTTACAACTTGTCGGGCTATGGACTTATCTTGATGCAGTTCATGAGGTAAAAAACTCATCTTCATGTCATTGTGGGCACTTGTCGTAACAGTCGCATGCGCAGCGATTTCTCTCCCTCTCTCACACGCACACACCAGCACACTGACCAAAACAGGCACTTTTCGCCTTCCCTTGAAAGAGGCCCCACATGCATCAGAATATGTAAGATCTTAGAAAGGAAGATCTCTTATTGAAAGTTTGAAAGCCCGGAAGCTGAGGCCGAGGCATCGCTTCAGGGACTGGGCGCAGGACAAAGGCTCTCGGCTAGCTCAAGCCCTCTCCTCCCCTCCCTCCCTCCCTCTCTCTCTATTTCTTGCTCTCTTGCTCTTTGTTCTTTCTGTCTTGATTTTTTGCATTGTGCTTTAAACACCTAAAGCTAAAGTAGACGCTTTGGCGTAGGGGTGTGGGAGAAAACAACAACGTTGGCCAGAGCAAGGGGCTTTAAAAAATAACAAGTGTGCGTTTAGTTCGTTGTTGGCCTCCGGTCTGCATACTTGGCATTTGGCTCAATTTGCATTTTTGTAGCGGGTTTGCGACATTGCATGCCGACTCTGTGCAAGGCATGCAGCTAAGTCAGTCACACTCTTAGCAACAACCTCAACGATGCCAAGGCTGCTCATGTCCTGAAATGACGGCCAAAAAGAGTAGAAGCGGACGAGACCGTGACAGCCAGAAACAGTAGAAGCGGACGAGACCGTGACAGCCAGAAACAGTAGAAGCGGACGAGACCGTGACAGCCAGAAACAGTAGAAGCGGACGAGACTGTCACGGGCAAAAGCAGAAGAAGCGGACGAGACAGTGAAAGCCAGAAACAGTAGAAGCGGACGAGACCGTGACAGCCAGAAACAGTAGAAGCGGACGAGACTGTCACGGGCAAAAGCAGAAGAAGCGGCGAGACCGTGAAAGCCAGAAACAGTAGAAGCGGACGAGACCGTGACAGCAAGCGGACATTCGGAAGCGTTAGAAGCGGACGAGAGACAGCCAGAAACGTGACAGCCAAGAAACAGTAGAAGCGGACGAGACCGTGACAGCCAGAAACAGTAGAAGCGGACGAGACCGTGACAGCCAGAAACAGTAGAAGCGAAGACGAGACCAGTGACAGCCAGAAACAGTAGAAGCGGACGAGACCGTGACAGCCAGAAACAGTAGAAGCGGACGAGACCGTGACAGCCAGAAACAGTAGAAGCGGACGAGACCGTGACAGCCAGAAACAGTAGAAGCGGACGAGACTGTCACGGGCAAAAGCAGAAGAAGCGGCGAGACCGTGAAAGCCAGAAACAGTAGAAGCGGACGAGACCGTGACAGCCAAAAACAGTAGAAGCGGACGAGACCGTGACAGCCAGAAACAGTAGAAGCGGACGAGACCGTGACAGCCAGAAACAGTAGAAGCGGACGAGACCGTGACAGCCAGAAACAGTAGAAGCGGACGAGACCGTGACAGCCAAAAACAGTAGAAGCGGACGAGACCGTGACAGCCAAAAACAGTAGAAGCGGACGAAACCATGACAGCCAAAAGCAGTAGAAGCGACGAGACCGTGACAGTCAAAAACGTGACAGCCAAAAACAGTAGAAGCGGACGAGACTGTGACAGCCAAGAACAGCATAGAAGCGGACGAGACCGTGACAGCCAAAGACAGTATAGAAGCGGACGAGACCGTGACAGCCAAAAACAGCATAGAAGCAGACGTGACAGCCAAAAACAGGAGAAGCGGACGAGACTGTGACAGCCAAAAGCAGTAAGGCTGCTCAGGTCCTGAATTGCAGCATCTCTTAGTGTAGACCAACGGCTTGTGCAAAAAGGAAAACTTTCCCATCAGGCTCCCCCCGCCCACCCCCTTATAAATCTTGGCCCCCATGCCGACTCGAAATCCAGGATGCGTCTGTCAGGTGGCAGCTCCTCGGCCAGCAGAAGCTTGCAACTACTCTTCCAATTTTCAACTGAAAGCCCGAAACTTTCTGAAACCGAAGTTCAGAGTGTGGAGATAAGCTCCTTTGAGACCTGCACTGCTACGTCTGCAAACTCTAGAAGCCCTTCCCTAAAACCACCCAACCAAAAAACTCAAAACCATCCGGAACCCTATCTCATGCCCTGGAGAACCAGGGGAAAACTTCAGAAACCCTCAAAGCTCTTCAAACGAACCCTGAGCTACTGGGGATGTGACAGTCTCGACACCACCTTCGGGAGCACATTCCTTGGCGACCTCGGTCCGATTGCACTGAACGGAAAGATACCAACCCCTGAAGCACGGAAGGAGGTGAAGGAGGTGTCCAAGAGCTTGCGCTGTCCGATCCCCCGTAGCAGTCTGCTGGAATCGCTGTCAAAACATGACGTGGCCAACTTGTTGAGCCTGACAGGGTCACGTGGTGTCGTTGGGGGTGAATGGTGAATCTGCACTGTGCCACCGTGAGTGCGGTCAATGGGCAAGGATGAAAATGTGGAAGCTGCCCAGCAGCTTAGGCTTCAAGGTTCAGAATGCAGGGCTCAACATCCCTAGACCTTCGGCCCGAACTTCTGAACTACCAGAGCCAGCAGTCTCAGCTCGTCACGGTGGCGTTCATTTTGTTCGGAAGCTGTTTCAGCATCCATTGCCTCAGCAGCTTGATCTAACTTGAGGACTTGGTCGCTGTCGGCTGTTGATGTGTCGGAAACCAAAAGGGAGTGTAACGGAAACCAACCCGAAAACACAACAGAAACCAAACAAAAACGTAACGAAACTACGCCCCAAAACCTGGAAACCAGGTGTAACGGAAATCAGACAGATCCGCGACGGAAATCAACAAGAGGTGTAACAGAAACTATGGAAAACTCAACCCTAGAGCCTAGACCCTAAACCTCAACACGGAAAACTAAACTCGAAACCCTAGACCTTGGACCCCTCAACCCGCAACCCCTATGAGGGCTGGGTAGCCCAATCCTTTCTCCGCCTTTCATTTCTCTGTTTGGGCAATTGGTTTCTGTTGCGTCCCGCAGTTGTTTCTGTAACGGTCCCAGGTTGGTTTCGGTTACAACCTCCTGTTGTTTCTTTTTCGGTTTCGGGGAGATTGTTTCCGTTACAACCCGCCAGTTTCCGTGACAGACTTTACTCGCTGTTGATCTTTGACCCCGAGCAGCCACCTCCCTCTTTCAATTCCAGGTCTCAGATCTTGGGTAATGAAACCGCTTTCTTGCAAGCTGCCGTACGGAGCTCCGCTCTGGACTCTACTTGAGACCTTCAAGCACACACGTACGCTCGGCACCCCACACCTTCCCTCCCTCACCTCCCAATACACGACAGTTGCAAAAAACAACCAGTGCGACCCTAATGGAGGATACTCAAAGAAAGGCCGTGGTGGCGCCTTTACCTTGCTGTGTTTAGGAAACCTATAGCTGGGCGACTGAACCCGAAGGCGCCCCATCCCATGCCTACAGACCGACACTGACTAGAACAAAATTCAACATCCTTCTTGAAGCACTGGTTCCTTGAGAGCGCCCGCTGGTCACACATACTTTCGTTCGGTTTAGGGTTCTGTGGGTTTGCTTAAGGGGCAAACGATCTCGAGCTGCTGCTTCGTAAAAGCTCTACATGTCAAAAAGCTACGCGAAATTCCCGAGCA